CATGTAATGCGCGCACTGCACAAATCAAATCGGTTCGTCGAAAGAATAATTATTTTAACTATATCTCGACTTATTTGGGACTTCGATTCGGCGTTTAGACATGGCTTATGGAGGCCATGGAGGGAAGTCCCTTACGGATGGCCCCTGCCTCTAGCCACTTGACAGAGTGGTCGGCCGCCGGGACCGCCGGGACGTTGAGCAGTGGACAAGGTCAACGGGAATACATCAGAAGGTATTATACGTCATCGCGCACATATTACACAGGTGTGTGCTGATATGTGAGTGTAGGGAGGTACCGCCGAGTACCACCGCCAGGGTGCTTTAGACCAAATTAAAGATGTGCGTTTTGTGCCCCCCCCCCCCAAAAAAAAGAGAAAGAAACAATGCTATCCCAAATTACACCAATGTTAAATCTGTTCCCAAGCTCTAGCGTCGAAGCCGGAGAGCCTAACAAAGATATACACACTTTGTTTTCTCTCAGTGGTTGGCTAATTCAGGCAGATAGCAGCCGGAGGGGCTGGGGGCGTGTGTACCGCGGCTTGCTGCGACCTTGGGCATCCTAGAGCATCCGAGAACGTCTTCCGCCCGATCAGCTGGAATCTACGCTCCTCCATGCTACTGCCAGCAACGCCGTCTGCCTAGTTCCTAAAACTGAATCATCACCCGGAAATTCAAAACTAGAGGAATTGCTTCCAAAGGACAGCTACTACTACGACTTTTGTCACCCAATCGGATACGGGGCGCGTTCGGAATCTCTCTCCTTCTCTCTCGCCCCAACATGACCTTAATTCTACTGTACCTTGCCCCGTTCCGAAGGCGGCCACAGGATGATGAGAAACACGTCGCCGCTTTGTATCAGTCACACCAGCCCACGACACTCATCAGCCGAAATAGCTCAGTTGGGAGAGCGTTAGACTGAAGATCTAAATGTCCCCGGTTCAATCCCGGGTTTCGGCAATAATTTTTTGTCTCCCCTGAAGAACAAACGATCAATACTCCACCAATGTTCTATCAATCATACAATTACACTTCCAGAATGTAGTGCTCTTCAGCCAACAAAAGATAAGACAGGTAAATAATTTTTAGAAATAAAAAAAA